TCTTAAAACAAACTAATTTAAACTTAAGATGGAAATATACACATGTACAGATCAGCAGATTAATACAAACAACTCCACAAAGTTTATAATTAAGGCCCCATCCACACTACTGCGTTTTCGTTTTGAAGCTCCGGAGAGCGTTTTAGTGAAGACGGATCTCTGATTGGGTCTCATCAGTCATGCAAAACAGAAACACGATGCTGTTGACAGAGTTTTAGTTTTGGTATTTTTATTAAAATATTTTGTACCGTGCAAATAACACTTACATCCTACACTTGTACTGTGCATGGATCTGGGCCAATCAAAGACTTCTCCAACACTGAGGTGTTACACAGACTCTCTGAACTACATAGTGTGTATTATTGCGTGTGTGTGTGTCTCACCAGTGTTTGTTGATGAAGTATATACAGAGCGGGTAGGCGGGCAGCTCCACCAGGCCGTACATGGCTACGTTCATATAACGGCTACCAGACATCTCGCTGGCCCCCAGAGTCAGACCGTAGTACACCAGACTGCACGCATACCTGCAACACACACACAAAAAACTAATCAGACTAAACTGATCTGTTACTCTAACTGTTGCTGATAACACTACGGCCCAAACCACATGTCTTTATGGTTATACAGCATCTTAAATTCCCCGACTACTTTAAAAGATTCACCTTCCATCTGTCCAAAAGCAAAAGGTTTTGTTTATTTCTACAGTCAGTCTGTAACTTCAGACAAGACTGGAGGATGGAATACAGAAGATTTCTGTAAAGTAAAATATTTGTAGATACAAAACCAACCAGAAAATGCATTTGTATAAATATTTTCTCCTCTTCAGCCTTCTCTGTTCAACGATATGTAAAAAAAAAAAACATTTGTGAGATCCATCAAATAGCCGTTAAAAGATTACAAACAACAAAAGGATCATTTTCTAAAGAGCAAAAAGAACCTCATGATGAATTTAAAGAAGCAGAAAAATCTTACGTAACTTAAGCAGAAACTGGAGGAATCGTGGGTATTTTATTTGCAGTACTGGTAGCAGTGATAGAAGTGATATAAGTAGCTGTATTAGTAGTAGTAATACTGCAGTAGTAACAGCAGCATCCCTTAGCAGCTTTGGGCTACAGCACCTGCAGCAACATATCTCGCACGCTTTGTTCTTCTTCTGTGGTGCTCTACTCACCAGACATACATGAGCACCATGGTTCTCAGACGGAGGACCGGATGGATCACCAGCTGCAGGACACCTGCCCCCCTGCCGTCACGGTTTCCGGCTTTAGCAGCGCAGACGCGTTTCAAAACCAGGTTGTTGGCAGGGTTGCCGTTCCTCAGCGCCATGTAGCGCAGCACCTACGAAGACGAGACGTTTACAGACTAAGTTACCTCGCTGTTAAGTTAAGAGGAACCCAGACACAGGCTGGCTAAATTCAGGGCCATCCCTTAAGAAAGAAAGGGAATATGACAATATTTAAATACAACGATACACAGTTCAGGAGTTGCAGATGGACCCTGTGAATGCGGTCAGATTCTTTTAACACGAGTCTTCGTCAACCTTCGTTTTCCACTGAGCTCCAGCACAAGAAGTCTGGAAAGAACGTATATACAGCACTTGTAATATTTGTACTAATGTATTCACCTCTTCTGCTCGCTGCGTCTGACCCTTCGAATACAGCCAGCGTGGAGACTCGGGAAGAGTGCTGGAGGGAAAAAGACCAGAGGAGTCATTACGCCGATGTAATTCGAGGAGTGGACGGCATGCACATATTCACAAAACAGCAGATGTTTTCCGCGAAAGGTGCGACTGCTGCGTCAAGATAGTGATGCATGATGGGTTTTTGGTGGCCTTAATGTTGCTAGATGAGCTATCTCCGCGGAAACTGTCACAACAGATGGTCTGTGTGGAGTGTTTCTTTTATTGTATGTATTTTTCCAAAAACAAGTCTTTAGAAGTCGTCTTACATTTTTTTACATTATTAATACTCCTGACATCACCACGACAACAACAACAACAACTCCTGCAGATTACTCTCAAGATTTCCCAAAGAGCCGGGGATTGAACTGCTGACCTTCCGATTACCGGGCAACCCGCTTGTCCTCTTGAGCCACAGTCACAATCTTGTTTACAGGATTTACATGCATCCTTAATATTTTTTTTAAATCCCTTTTTATTTACATATCTATTTTAATTGGTTTCCATTCATTTCTGTGGGGTGTGAAAATGAGTTTGTTGTCGTTTTATAATGTTTTCGTTTTACCACAACATCAAAAATTTAAAACACATCAGCATGGTTTGAAAAAAAAAGTGTGATATAAAAGGCCACGTACTGAGATAACATGTATATTAGACTGTACTCTGCAGGAATAAAAGAATTATAAATGACTTTGTTTTGATATCAGTGTATATCAGTCCACCACTAGTTTAAAGACTTGTGTGACTTGTAGAAAAAAAACCCTGGTATGCTCCTTTCAGTTTGTTATATTTAAGGTATTCTGATTGAATTGTAATTTATATTACATGATATTTTGTTTCATGCGTTTCAATGCTTCTAAAACCCACCAGTCTATTTTTATTTATTTATTTTTTCTGGATGCAGGCGGTGGCGACTCGTCTCTCTGAGGTTTGTACTCACACAGACAGCAGGAGGAACAGGACGCCGGACGAGTTGGACGCCATAGCCAGGTTCCTCCACGGCTGGATGAAGTAGCCCAGAGCTCCGAACAGGGCGATGCCGACGGCAAAGGTCATGCTGGTCAACGTCCCTGAAGAACAGAGGAATAAATACTCAATACAACAGCGAAGGAACGCGCCGATATGTTTTCTCAAATCGCTCTAAAACTCTACATTCAATATACCAAAGAAGAAAAGCAGCCATTTCAGAAGCTGTAACCAGAAAACATTCAACACTTTATCTGATAAATATCCAAAACTGATCGACTCGATCGAATTTCAGCACTTATTTGGCAGAAGTCATTAATAAAAACTGATGCACGACCGGGTTGTTTGTGTGTTTTTCGTACCCGTCATGGCCCAGTACGACTTGCCCACGTACTCCTGAGTGAGGACAAAGCAGACGAGGCCGATGCCGCCGTTCATCAGCCCCACCAGGAGGCGAGACACGGCGAACACCTCGTAGCTGGGGGCGAAGGCGGTCACATAGCCAAAGATCACCTCGAAAAACAGGCCTGCGTGAAAGAAGAAGAGTGAGAGTAGAGTGAATGTAAGTAATGTGACTTGTAATACCTGATCCGGAGAGAAATATGAGACTCTTCTTCTTTTAAAATGGTCTGAATTTCTAAATCCAGCCCGTTGACTACTAGACAAACAGCCCCAGGACTAACTCACTGAGACAAATCATGGCGTGTGGTTTTCGCTCACCTGTCAGGTAGACAGGTCTCCTGCCGATCCTGTCCGAGAGCGGCCCAAAGACGATGTTCCCGACCAGAAGCCCGGCGAAGAACAGCGACCCTGCTAGACTGACCTTATAGGCCTGATGCCTGATGAGAAACCACTGGGGAACACAGAGAGCAGCAGAAACCACTCAGTCTCTGTTTGTGGGTTTAAGCTTCACTGACGCTAAAAGTGAAAATGCACGTGAACTCCCTCACCTCGGTCACTATGGAGTCGGTGTCCTCTGTAAAGGTAACGAGCTCCCGCTGGCTGCTGCCGACGCCGTCCAGCTGCTCGATCCGGTACTTCGGCGTGGATCCAATCAGAACGATCAGCATGGACTGACAGGCCATGTACACCTGAAACACAGAAACAAAGTTCAGAGGGCAAAGACCGTGGACAGGGCCCTTTGAAGCCCTTTATATATTTCCAAATTATGCGTTTTTCTGTTTTAATTTTCCTGAATTCTGTGTTTAAAAAAAAATGAAGGGCACTGTGTCATCAGACAGAGTGTGTAATCATGTGGTGGACGAATAAAATGTCAATAGCAAATTTATTACAAATTGAATCAACATCAGTTAATTTGATGTATCACGTAAATATGCATATAGAAGTGTTCAAATGTATGTGAAATTATTTATAGGGACAATTTACAATGAATGTATTGTAACAGCAGGATATTAAAAATACTATAATACTCTTTAATAAAAAGGGAAAATTTACATTGTTGCAGTATTGTGCAGCGCTCCGTCTTGTTTACACAGCTAGACCAGACATAAGTGTTTTAATTTATTTTTAAACTGAATATCTGACTCCGCCTTGCATCTGCCGGTGTGGTTTTACTTCTGAGAGTCTGTTGAAGTGATGAGGTCTCGCTAGCGTCGTCTTTGATATGATGGCGTGTGTGTGTGTGTGTGTGTGTGTGTGTGTGAAGGAGGCTTTGAACTCTGCCCTCGCTGAAACACCGACACAGAGGAGACAGAAAGAGCGCCTGTTAACACCAAAACATAGCAAGAACGTTTTTCTGTTCCTCTGTGGGCAAAAACGCTTACAATGTTGGGAAAGGCCCCATTGTTTTTTTAAATGGCATCAACATTTTGGCCAATTCCATGATATTGTTAGCTGAAAATCCCCCCAAAACAATGGTTGGGTCAACACTGCTGCTCATGCAGAGTTTCCACTCTGGCCATCAGGAAGGAGGAGGGCCAAACAAAACAGATCTGGGACCATTTGTTTTCCCACCAGCTGCTGGGCTTTTACACAAGCTGCAGGCCTAGCTGCTGCACACACCGTGCTTTATCTCTCACTTTATCAGGATTCAGAACAGAAAATGACCTTGCACCTCTGTAACGTGAGACGGGTGCGTATATATACACAAAACATTTAGAACAAATCAAATCCGTTCATAGACACACGTTTTCAGTTTCAGATCTCAGCTGTTACCTGATACATCAATAGATAAATAGAGGAAATATCATGTGACCTCACTAAAGATTCACAAGGGAAAAATGTCACACTGTTAAGTAAAAAACAAAAAACTGAGAGAAAAAGTCATCAACATAAATATGACTTACAAACCTCCACATTATTTATTATATTTAGTACAACAAACACATTAAAAGGTCCTTATAATGTTCATGCAGGATCATTTATAAATGAACACAATGCTTAATGGTCCTGATACGATATGTTCATCCAACACTGTTTACAGCTGGACAGGAATAACTCAGGTAGAGCTGTAACGATTAGGCTAGTCAATTAATCGATTAGTGTGTCGAAAGACAATAAATTGACATCAGCAACAACGTGAAACATTGCTGGTTTCATCTTCTTCAATATGAGTATTTGCTGCTATTTTTGTCAGTTATGATGTCAGTAACAAAGCCGACAGAGAACATAATGTTCACAATCACCAGAAAACTAACTCATCATTAAGTTCTCAAGGAGCCAATGTTTGCAGAGTATAAATCCAGTGCGCCTCACGTCGTTTGAGTAACTTATCTTTATTTAAGATAACATCTACAGTATATCACATGTAGTTTAAATCTATTATTTGTCTTATCATATTAAGACTATCAAAACAAATCAGTGCCAATGTGCTGAGAGACAGTTCTAGTAGAATAAACACTTTATCACCATTAAAACTGCAACTAACAATGTACTGCTTTCCAAACCTGACAACACATATTAAAAACACACAACCCTCCTGTATTCTTGCCTGTAATTAAGACAACAAAACCCATCATGAATGCAGGCTGGAACAGGATCCACTGCATTTTATTGAGGTATTGTTCTAACAAGGCCAATACCAGACTCACACACTGATCTGTCCTGCATCATACAACCTGTCAAAACAACTGAATCCACGCTTCTGAATGTTTTTAAAGTGACAACACAAGCGGTTTGTTGATTATTGTCATGACTACCTGTATTCTGCCATGGTGCTGGATAAATGGGATTTGAGATAAGAGGCTTTAAAGACGAAATAACTTAATATAGTAGTTAACAGAAAAAAAAATATGAAGGCTAAATAGACTTAAAGCAGATGTAACGTTGGTGTTTTGCACTCGGTGATCGATTTCAAGTTAATCAGTGCGCTCAACTCTACAAATCACTGGGAATCAAAAGATGGCAAACAAATCAAGCATAATAGATATGATATAAAATAAATTCATCATGTATCTACCATCTAATCACCATCAGGGGAACTTTTATTGAGTGCGGTTACGTTTAACGACTATTAGCTAGCTTAGTTAGCTTAACCGCAACGGAGGTTTTGACGAACTTCATTAAAAGATGCTGAGGTTTGAGATTAAATTTGATATTTGGGACAATACAGACGAAGTGGGAAAATACTTACAATTATTTAGAATATGTGGAATGTTGTGATCAATTCGGCAAAAGGTTTGACGTTGCTACGAGTCATTTATTTTAAATAAATGTAATTTTTACACGTGTTTCACAATGCTTGTCAATATAAAATTTAACTTGCAAGTTCTCCGGAGCGGCGGGATGATATTTGGCCATGTTGGAATGATTTATGTTTTAGTAGGCAAAGTATGGTCTGTTGAGTTAAATAGCAGCTCATATACGTGTTGAGTTATGGACTGCTTGATTTGCGAAGTTAAGTTTGCCGATAAACAAGGCTGCACTATTCACGTCGTTTTTTCAAGGAAGTCTGGTTTACAGCTATTTATCCAGGAAAGTGCACATCCTGCGCTCTTACATAGAGAAACTGTAAAAATATAGTGATTTCTTAAGCGTTAAAATGTTTCAGCACCAAATGTTACATCCTGTGGCCACAATAAAACGCTTAAAAAGTCCTCCGACAGAGACTGGAAAGCCACGTAGCGCTAAGTTAGCACTGTCAGGGGCGTTCTCTGGTTCTCACGTAACGTTATTAGACAAATCCACTAACCTGGGTCAGAACAAGAACAGCCACCGCCCGCTGCTGGTAGGGTCCAAACTCGCCCACAACTTGAAAAGCTTCTTCTAAATCCATCCCAGGTCGGGCGGCCCGGCAGCTCTCTGATGTAGCATCACACAGGAAAGAGCTGCGCGAGTGTGATCCGCGCTCACTTCCGGCTTCGTTCCTTTTTCATCTTTACGCACTTCCGGCCTCGTTTCCTGCGTCCATTTCAGAAATAATGACTAAAGACTCTGTGTGACGATGTGACAGGTTTATTTATAAGGCACTTACAAAAACTAACCATAATTCAAACATTTGCTAAGTACAATAAGTTACGGGAAGTGGCGTCAATAATTGTTTTTAGATAAGACCCAAAACCTTAAATAAACAATCACTTAAACCAGTGCATGGAAAAGGGATGGATGATAGTTAAATAACTTTAAGCAGATTGAGCCACATTATTTTTGATTCATTACATATACACACACTAGAGCAGCAACAACTAGGTGATTAATTGCCAACTATTTTGTATCTTATTTTAAAGAAAGAATGTCAAATTTCTCTCATTCCAGCGTCTTAAATGTGAATATTTTCTGGTTTGTTTCCTCCTCAGTGACAGTAAACTAAATATATTTGGATGGTGGATAGAAGATGTGTCTGAGGACATCCCCTATGGCTTTGTCAAAGACTGACATTTTCACAATTTTCTGGACCTAAAAACGAATCGAGATAAGCAATAATAATAAAATAATCACTTGCTGCAGCCCTGATATACATATGGTCCCTATGCAGAGACATGCTTTACCTTAGCTGTGGACATGCGCTTAAAGTCACCAGCAAATTACAAATACAGGTGCGATAAGATGTTTATAATACAATGTTGATTTAACAAGACACATTGCCAACATTCCTTTACATGATGTTTGGATTTCTTCAAGTTATTATAAGGTTTTTTTTTTTAAAGAACATGCTTCAATGCATTAATCCATCAACACCAGAGAGTCAGCATCATTCAGGTCTTCTGATATATCCAAAGTCAAAAGTCAAGGGTCAACAGTTCAGTGGTATCGATGACCCCACAGACGTTAAATAGCTGAGTTTCCCTACCATTAAGTCAGACGAAATATCTTCCAGTATCTTCAACCAAGTCCAGTTGCCCTTGACTTTAACAGTCTTTGGATAATTATGCCCTGGATGACTGAGAATCTTCACAGACGTCATTTCATCAAGGCGTAGCAGAAATAAAAACATTTTTCTTTAAGATCTGGGCTGCAATTGTTAGTACATTCTTTGGGATTTGTGTTAACACGTGAAGAGAAATGCTGAAATGTGGCTAAATGGACACTAAAGGAGAGAAGAGGAGGAGCATCTATCCTCCCATCTTACTCTACCTTAGAATGTCATAGCGATATCCTGATAAGCTACACACAGTTTTAAGAAAACAAACAAACAAACAAACAAAAAAAACATGATGTCCCTCTGTTCCATTGTTTTGGGGGATTAACTAAGTCGTTCTTCTTGCTCCTGTAAAGTAACAGTCCATGATGCTAATAAAAACACCTGAGGGCCAAAGGCATCATGAGGCAAGAGCTCCACAACTTCATCCAGTCCCTTAGGATTGTGATTTTGGATTTTGTGGGTTGAGTTACAGAGCATCAGGTGAGTTTTTGACATTAGATGCTGCATCTCCATTTCCAGATGGTATCGCAGTGGGAACTTGCTCTCGATCGTTAGCGATCCAGAATTTCGGGATTACACCCTTCTTGATGAGTACAAACACAACTGCAATTGCGATGATTATGATTAGGGCAAATATAACCGAAATAGCTATAGTTCCAGCTGAAGAGCTTTCTGCAGCCGCACTGTAGAACGGGTTGCCTAGGGGGTCACTTTCTTTCTCGCTGACCGGGTTCTTCATCTTACAGGAAAAGGTTTCAACCTGGTTTTTCGAACTCCTGGTGATTTTCATGTCCTTTTCCGACTCCTTCCAGTCTCCGGCTCCCTCCTTCCAGCTGTAGGTCACAGGTTCGGCCCCTGCAGTGTCTCCATCACAGGACAGCGTGCACTCCTCTGAATCCCCATTACAGGACACTGGTCGCAACACCACCTCAGGCTTGGGCACTTCTTTGATCACTTTAACATTATAGCTCGGACTCTGGACATGGCTGTTGATTTCCACTACGTACTGCCCCGCGTCAGCTTCTACCATTTTCTTGATTTCCAATCGTCCAGTGGTTGTGTCCAGGGTTGTGCGGCCTTTAAACGTACTGTAGTATGTCAGATTAATTGCTCCCTGCACCCACTCTGCCAGCAGATTGTTGTTGTGTTTCCACAGGATGTTGGTGATGGCTGCTGATGGTTGAGGCCTCAGCTCCAGGTTACCACCAACAGCGAAGTATTTATCTTCGGCTAAAACAGAGATCAGCACGGTCGCCAGCACCGCCGCCCGGAGCCAAACACCAACCTGTTCCCCCATGTCTTTAATCTCAATACAGGACTGAGAGCGTCGGTTAGCGACGGTTAGCTCGTCAGGCTGAAGCTGGTGTGCTAGCCGCGCCCTTCCTTCCTTCTTCTTCCTCGCTCGCTCGCTCGCTCTATGCGAGTGTGACAGATCTGTTGGTGTTCACCGTGAAAATCTGATCACCCGGGCGGTCTCCTCACTGCCCGAACCAAATTCGACAGGTTAATCTGTAATACCAGCGAAAAATGGTCGGTTAGCTCGACAGGCGGAAAGCTGGTGTGCTCGGTGCGCCCTTCCTTCCACGCTCGCTCTCTGCGAGTGTAACGGATCTGTTGGTGCTCACCGTGAAAATCTGATGACTCAGGTGGTCTCCTCACTGCCAGATTTAAATTCGACACATGTTGATCTCTAACGCAGAGCATAATCTATCTAAATATTTAACCTTCTACCACAGCGAGTTATTCCATCGCTTATTTAGCTAGTATGTTATAGCTTGAATCGATTAATTACAAGTTTCGTTCGAACCGGACAGGCATTATTAACAGAAGCCAGTCAACGTCCGGTTACCGGGCGTTTTATTAAACGTTGTTAACAAAAAAACTATGACAAAAAGGACATTAATACTAATAGAAAGGACACAAATAAGTCTGGTTAAAGGTTGTACTTGTTGGTATTTATTCTGATAAGTCAGTTTTAGCCTTTCGGACAGGCGGTTTTCAGGTAGAAACACGAGTAGGACGTATTTGATTAGGGAGACATTTTCTATCAGTACACGTATATGAACCGAAAGTAAATGATGGGAGTTTCCCCGTGTTTATGACAAATATATTTTAACAAACGTAATAAAGGGTGTAGATGCAGTAACACCCATAAAACATTCCGCGCGGAAAACACCCCCCCTAAAAAAAACCCCGTTTAGAGGTTTGAAGGGAAAACACATCCTGACACTACATGGATCAATCCAGGAGACTAAAGTTACTATCAGCCATGACAATTACATTTATTAATCTGCTCAAATCAAACAAACCCTTCATTTTACTGTCACATTTCATGCTATCACGCCTTGTTCTGTTAAGTTACTATCATTTTTCAAAGATACCCAACAACCAACCATACTAGTGCAAATTAACACAATTTAAAATAAAATGGTTCAATGAGGCAGTCCACCCAGTTTTCCTAAATTATCAGACATACATAAAGGGAATTTTGTGTGAAAATAAACGTTTTGTTTAAAAACGTGCTATACAAATAAATTACACTTAAGAGAAAGGGCAAAGTTTGACCTTCAGAGGAGTTTAGCCTGTTATGTAGAGCACATTTAATAGATTCAAGGAGGGAATTGTGCTTTAGATGAACCCCAAGTTTTAAAATATGATTTAAAACAAAAAAGGTACATACTGGAACTGTTTTCGCTTATGGGATGGAAAAAACACCCACATGTGGAATTAAATGCCTGCACAGAAGTGAATCAAGAAAGCAGCATTCAGAGCTAAATTATTGAGCAGAGTTGATATAAAACTTCCCATGATTCATGATGTGCAGGGACCAGTGAACTAGTCTGAGCTATTGAGATCTGAAACCACTCCCCACAGTCAAAAGTCATACTTCAGCAGTTAGAAACTTGACTACTTGTTAATACTGCATGTGAGGGTGTTGGTACAGATCCTGTTGCTACACTTGAGAGGGAAAAGAATAAATTGGTTCCTCATTTTGAGAAAACATGATAAATCCTGCTCGGCTCTTCAGAATAAATAAAGTGCATGTCAGTGTTTTCTATTCGGACTTTATCTACTGCAGTTAATGACGAACCAAAAAGCATAAATACTTGTATAAATCTCTTTAATTTTTACAAACAACTTGAAAATGTCAAGACAATTTGTGTTGCTAAAGCTAAGTGACAGTTCACGAGACAGCACCCTAACATTTAAAAGACAAAATTATTAAAAATATATGAGACAAAGAGTTTTGACGACATAGTTAACAAGAATACATTAAAACTGTTTTAGTTCTGAGGGCGGAGAGGCAGTCTGGACTTCTGAGGCGTTGACGTGGCTTCGTTTTCTGACACTTTTAACCTGGTGGGGATCTTCGTCTCCTTCTTACCGCCCTTCTTTTGCTGTAAAAGAGAAATTACAAGAATGTAAAATCACTGTTATAAAGTACACAGGTAAATGTGCCAAAAGTTCAGACGGCACTCGTATGGAGGCCCAGTATTCATGTCGGATGTTGTTTTCACCCATCGATCAGGCCGTGCGGTCATAAACTACTGAGGTCTATTCTGAACTACTGACCTAATTTACCATTAAGCTGAGTTTAACACCCGCCTTCACACAAGCAAAGAGCAACACACTCTGCAGCTCGACCGGGACTCTTATCTACACTGAATCTGCTGAGTGAGACACTTTTCTTGTATTTTCTTGTGTTGGACCCACAACACCGGCTCAGCCCACTCTTTACCGGTTTACCAGTTTCTGTTTGAACACTTGCTCAGTGTGTGAATGCAGATGTAGTGTAAAAGTGCTTTGAGTGGTCGAAAAGACTAGAAAGGCGCTATACACAGAGCATTTACATAAGTTTGGAGTCACATGACATGGAAGCAACAAAAAAAAAAAAAAAAAAAATCACAACACATTATAAAATTAATATATATTTTTTGATAGTCCCTAAGCCACGCGGTGGGCTAACCGGCGCATGTCGCCACCACGCGGTGGGCTAACCGGCGCATGTCGCCACCACGCGGTGGGCTAACCGGCGCATGTCGCCACCACGCGGTGGGCTAACCGGCGCATGTCGCCACCATGTGTTAGGCTAATTAGCATGTTGTCAATAGCCTAACTAGCATGCCTATTGAGCCACTAAATTAACCAACGGCCTGTTAAACAAATTTGCCCGCCTGATCCAACTAAACCAAACTAGCTACGTTAACTATTGGTGATGGCGCAATGGAGAAGACACATGCCTTTGGAGTGAGAGACCCGGGTTCAACCCATCCACCATTGTGTCCCTGAGCAAGACACTTAACCCCTAGTGGCTCCAGAGGCGTGCGACCTCTGATGTATATAGCAGTTGTAAGTTGCTTTGGATAAAAGCGTCCGCTAAATGAATAAATGTAAAACTACTCAATGCAATACTTGAATTTGCAGCTGAAGAAAATCTAAAGCATCCTTTTATAGTTTCCCTGAATTGATTTGAAACAGAACATCAGAAAGATTCTCCACCCACGCTCACCTTGAAGAAGGGAACGCGTTTGCTCTCATTGAAGACGAGGTTCTCGTCGATGAAGGACGGCTCTGTGGCCAAGCTTTCGTTACAAGTACTCAAGTCGTCCTCCAGGGAGTCCTGGACACAATAAAGAGGAACAAGGTGAAAATGGTGCACAAAGTAGTGCATTTCTTTTAATTTGGCCAAAAGAAATTAAATATCTGCATATATCTGGAAGCAAAAAAACACCCAGAGGTGTGAATGACAGCCAAATATAATTGAATTTATCAAACTGAATCAGTATATAGTGGATTAAATAAAACAAATCAACCTATTAAATATTAAAATCAGGTTACGTGTGCTTGATTACAAGAGGAAGCATCCTACGCCCGACAATGTAGAGGATGTCATCAAATAAATAAAATAATTAAAAACAAATCGTTAACCTGGCTGCGTTTGTCCTCATCCTCCTCCTCCTCCATGGCGGCCTGCAGCTCCTCCTCCTCCATGGCGGCCTGCAGCTCCTCCTGCTGCCTCCTCAGGCTCTCCAGCAGCTCGCAGCGGCTGCGCATCTTCACCAGCTGCCTGGGAAACACAAACTCCCGACGCTGAGGGGTCAAACCTGAAGGCAACAGCAGAACTTGTTAGTGACCTGGACAGGTCAAAGGACTCCACAACACAAGACTTTAGACGTTCGGATTGGACTTCGGGGGCGGGGCAATCGTACATACGCACAAACACACAAAAACACTAGAAGTACCGGTGGGAACGTCCTGCTGCAGCTCCTCCTGCAGGAAGTCGTGGACCATCTGTTGGGCCGTCTTCATGTGGTCCTGGAGCTCAGCCTGCTGTTGGTCCAGGACAGTCAAGTCCAGGGAGTTCTGCTTCTGCACGGCCACCAGAGCCTTCTTCACCTCCTCCTGCCGACCGGACAGCTCCTCCTCGGCTGTTCGGAGCCGCTCGGTGCAGCGCTCCTCGACGCTCTGAGAAAAAAAACAATGTATTGGAGGACAAGATGAAGCTGCAGCGAGCCTGAAGACCTGCCGCTACAGAAATAAGTGGTATGATGTTTTGTGTTTACCTGATGCAGGGTCTGCGCCTCACTGGAAACCCTCCCCATCAGAGACAGGTGCTCCTGGGCTTGAGTCTCTGCATGCTCCCTGGCTCTGGAGCTCCACTGGAGGTCACGTTGGACCAGACCTGCAGTCAAGAATCGACACCATCAGCAGTAATTCACACACAGAATGTACTGCAGATGTGGGTTTAATGTTTTTTAAAAAAAAAAAAAAAAAGACAGCTGAAGGAGTTCGGTACCGGACACGGAGCTGTGGAGGTGGGAGCAGCAGCCCGTCATCTCCTCCAGCGTCTGCTGGCTCTCGTCGGCGTTCACACGTAGAGAGGAGGCCAGAGAGGAGGAGGTGGAGCAGAGGAGGTCTGCCTGGGCCGAGGCCTGATGTGCTACCGAACTGTAACCGCTGCACACAGGAAGAACAATTTTAGACACTGATAATTCCTTAACAAGATGATGTGTTGGATTCAAAACTTTATACTAAAGTTTTATTTTAGTAAAATAGGTTGTGTTTGTAGCTCTTCATCTCCTCCTGCAGCCGACCATTTGTCTGTGACTCACCTGCTGATGTTCTCCTGGAGGACCTGCAGAGGATTCTGCAGAGCTTTGGAGGCAGAGCGCAGATCAGTGAAGTCCTTCTGGGCCTCCATGGTCAGCAGGGTGAGCTGGTCCTGCAGGCACTGGATGGTCCGCTTCATACCCTGAGAGAAGGAAGTAATGATGGTTTCACTAACCGGCCTTCTATAAATAAAGCAGTTACATTATTAATCATAAAACTGAAAAATAGTTCCCAGTATCAGCAAAATCTGATCAAGTCTCAAAAGGTACTAATCTTGGTTTGCATATTTTAAAATCGACAGATAGTAGAATTAAATATCCTTTTTGGATCCGAGCTGCTGGCTGAAACTCATGAAATATTATAAAGGTGTTACTGAAGCGTTTGGAGAATTCTTTGGGGTTTTGTTTATGATCACATTCTCCGCTTTAATTATTCTGGTATTTTTTTAACAGAACCTGCGTATTTTATGCAACCATTTCCATTTTTAACTACTCCAGAACGGAGAGAAAAAGATATTCAAACCCAAGCTGCTCCCAGATCAGCTCTTACCGTCTGGTGCCTCTCCTGCGCCCGTCTGATCTCGTCCTCCAGCTTGTCCTGTTCGGCTCGCTGTGCGCTCAGGCCCTGCACGGTGGCCTCTCGCAGCCCGGCCAGCTCCTGAACCAAGTTGCTGAAGAACGCACCCATCTCCTTCATAGCCTCCACCTGACGGGGGGGGGGGGGGGGGGGGGGATAATAAAGCATGATTAAAAAAGTTTAGCGCAAGAATGAAATATATATAATGTGACTCTTGTCATTGATATAATAGAAGGCGCGTGTGGTCGAACCTTGTCGGCCAGAGCGCGCTGCGTCGCCACGTTGGCTCTCAGAGTGTCGTTGAGTTCCTTCACAGCCGACAGACCCATCAGAGTCCGAGCCACCAGGACCTCCTCCATGTCCTGCCGATGCTCTTCCTACACACACGCAGACAAACACAAAGAAAGCAGTTGGATGTGTGTTTGCGTTACCCAACAGTGACAACTTTAATACTCCATCAGACAGAAGCCTTCAAACGAAGCCTCCTCGTTTTGTCTGTTAAACCGTCATGGAGGTTAGTCCCGTCCTCACCAGCAGCTGCAGCAGACTCTCCTTGTCCTGCAGACACAGCGTCTCCTGCTGCCGCACTCTGTCCTGACAGCGAGCCACGCCCTCAGCCACCAGCTGCCCGACTCCACCCACGAAGGACTCCACGGTGGTCAGGGCCTCCTTCAGCGCCGCCTCGTTCACCACGAGCAAACCATCTGTTCAGAAAAAGCAACAGGTAGATATATATACACCCTCTCTTTCTCTCGGAATCTCTTTTTAAATTTGTGAGCGACAACAAAGCGTCCGTCAACATCTCCCACCAACAGATCCGCAGGGCCAGTGACATTGTGTGGTCTAGCTGGACGACGCTGCTCAAGCTACATGTCATCTTGGACAATGACTCCCACCCCCTCCATGCCGAGCTGGTCAAACAAAGGAGGACTTTCAGTGAGAGACTTGTCCCTCATGAACGCACAACAGGAAGTCACTGCTGCTTGTGGCCTCATATAACTGCTCCCTGGCCAATGCAAAGATGCGAACTGGCTCCGGGCGGCGCGGAATAGATGCGTTTGTTGCGAAATTCGCTGGTTCACTCGAGTTCATATTTTTAAACTTTAGAGGGAAATTCGCTTGACGCCGTGTTGTGAAAGCCTATCAGCGCTGAGATTGTCCAGACGTCACCGACGGCTTCAGAGCGTTGTTTGGAGAGGACCGCGCAGAGCGGGGGAGTGACGCCCCTGGCCGACGGAGAGCAGCGCTGCAGCTTTTGGACAAATAAACACCCGTAGCCGGTCTGGATTCTGCTCTGACAACTACGCAGTTTGCTCGCGGGAGGAGCTCAGAGTAAACTGCTGTTATTAAATCAGCTTTTTACTTTAGTTTTTGGGATTACAACTTGATTTATCTTGCCCGGGTGCTTCTCAGCAGGGAGCTTCTGTGCACATCATGTCCCACTGTTGTTGTTGTTAGTTGGCACCCAGAGCTCTGTTGGACTACTAACTTAACATTTATATCAAAACCGGACAAAACTGGACATTAAGAGGAAGTTGAACTACCTGGTGAGTTCAGAAAATGTGACAAATAAGCAAAGCATAGCCCTCAAAGATCTGAACTCCATTCAGAAAACAAACATTTTAAAGTTGTTGACATGCGGTCTTGCCAACAGACCTGACAAAGCATGAATTCATGCGTTTTACAAATCAGCATCATATTGTAGTTATTTCGGCATCAGTTTGATCCGTTTATTACAACTAAATCACAGCAAAATGTTTACTTTGGGTTCATACAGCTGTAGTAGTCGCTGGTTGTGTTTATTCATGTTATCGTTCTGTGTGTGAACACTTGGCAGTTGTCCGGCGATTAAAACCCGCGGCAGGATTAAATTTGCGTTCAGTCTGAATGCATTTAATCATTAAACTGGACCGTGTAGTGCAATATTTGACAAATTGTGCAATATTTTCAATTGTAGCACTCTGTCCCAATACTCATCAACACTACAGTTCCTATTATCATTACACTTCTGTTAATACTGTAAGACACTGTACATATCAAGTCAAGTTTTATTTATAAAAGCACATTTAAAAGTCTCGATGGTGGGGGATGATCCGATATTCAAGGGAAGTTTACTCCACAGACACTTTATACCATATGTGGGATGGTTAAAAGGGACCGGTTTGATGACCTGAGGGGCGTAAAGAGATTCGAAATATAAGACCGAGCCATCCATGTAACGTCTTATAAATAAGCACCTTAACCAATATTGGCTTCCTTGTACCAGTCAACAATCTAGCAGCTGCATTTTGAACAAGCTGCAAGCGTGATGACGACGAGTGACAGATGACAGAGTACAAGGAATTGCAGTTATCACTTCCAGAGGATATAAGAGCATCATGAAAAACAGTCTCACAGAGAGAAGAGATGCCAGTTTTGCTGTTGCCATTTGTCAAATTTTAATCACACCTACATTTCTAGAAGAGTTGCACGTTTGTGGACAAGGGGCCCAGATTTTTCAATAACTCCTCAACTGAGTTGGGGGTCAATATTATTTAGACAGTTAAAAATCCACTGTGAGGACTCCAATCAATATTTTTTTTTATATATTTCTACTGAAGAGCTTTCTATTATTTATATTCATTAATGTGCAAACTGATCATAATAGAGTATTTCTGATTTTTGGACTAGACCCCGGAGCTTCCCTCTAAAGTCACCAACAGGCCCCAAACTAGCTGTGACGTCACAGACCCTGCAGGTTTGGGTTACATGTTTAGCTCTGTGGTCTTACCGACGGCCTGCGAGTAGCTGCTCAGCACGTCGCGGTGTTTGGCTCCGTGCTGCTGGACGTTGCGCTGCAAGTCGCTGAACGCTCCCTCCATCCGCTCAGAGAAAGTCTGCTGGATCTGGCTGTTGTGTTGCTCCACCTGCAATTTCAAATCAAACTGCCAAAGTTAAAAATGTGTTTTGGCATTTCCTTCCTTGCAGAATGACGGACACACGGATGCACAAGTATAAATGGGCCATTACTTTTGTACCATTTAAGGTTTTTCACTGGACTTAAACTACTTATATTTACACACAAACAAGAAACACTTTTGACCGGCAGTGTGTACAACTTAAATTAAACAAAGTAAATGTTAGATTAGATTCAATTTTAGGGCTGAAACAAACTGAATCGATTGAATTAATCTGCAGCAACTTTGATAACTGATTAAATGTTTGAAGTGAGATCGTCTCTTTGAACAGCAGCCACAGGGGACATGAAAAGCTACAGTAAGAGTCAGCGATAATATCCGTAGACTGAAGAAGCATTGTTTGATTTAAGCAAGTCTGCGTTTCAGTGGTTATGAACCGAACGTTTCAGTCGTGCTTTAAAATTGTAAACAATTACTGATTTAACATTTTAAAAGTTGTACATCTTTGATTTTTGGACGGTTGGGACAAAAAAATAAAAAAAATAAAAAATCTTCTGATTAATCGTTAATGAAAACGATCCTGTGTTTCATCACTCTTCACTTTCAACACACATGTACAGAGGTCTTCTCACAGAGTAACCAAAGAGTTGTGTCACCCGTTCAGCTCATCAAATTAAACATGCGAGGAGCATGACAATCTTTTGTGAAAACAACTTTGTGGGATTATGCAGCTCAGGAGGCAGGAAAATGTTCTCAACCCATTATTTTTCTTCTCATCTGAAAATCACAAACTCGACACATTTGGAGATGCTTGTGCAGCGTTTTTTTAAAAAGTGACCTTTTTCTTCCTGTCCAGCTTATCATGGAGCCCCGACACGTCGCTGGTGCTGTTAACCACCGTACTCAGCAGCTGAAGGAGAAAACACAAAACCACAAGGATGTTGTATTCAGATCAGCGGTCCGAGACGGATCACCACACTTAAAGTATTTTCTGAGAAAAGGAAGTTTGGTCAAAAGAGGGGGGGGGGGGGGCTTATTCAAATGAAGGACATTATTAATAGTATGGAAAAGTACAGACAGAGAAGAAAAAAGGAACAAGAAAAAGAGAAGAAAGGGGAGGGAGGGTAAAAAGCAACCTCGTCAATATCTAAATATGGTTAGAGGAGATGGTGTCGTCAACATTAACAAGTGGAGTCAGTAAAGTTTGTCTAAACCCTGCTTGAACCACTGGAAGAATCAGATAAAATGTGTGAGTCACTGAGGCTCGTCAAAAGCAAGAGAGATCTTGAATTGGATGTAGTGATATACAAGACGTGATAAGATGCCTGGTTATTTTAGGAGGTTAAAAAAGTAACTAAGTGATGTTTTAAATGAGCTACTTTTACTCGAGTAGATTTTTACAACAGTAACTTCACTTGTACTTAAGTAAAAGTTCAAAAAACAGTACTTTTACTTAAGTAGAATATTTTAGTAGTTTTCCACCTCTGGGGAAAAAAAACACCATGAAGTCTGTGACTGTAAAACAATCCAGTGAGTCCTGGTGCATTTCTCTTTCATTTGGCCTCCGGCTGTATATATAAACGTCATGCGTCAGCGAAGCCTGTGAATACCTGTCCCGCTGTGCTATAGAGGGTTTCCCGGTCTGTGGTGAGCTCCAAGCTGACAAACACCTCCTGATCCAGCTTCTCTTTGGTCTGCTGCAGGCTTTGACTCGTCTCCTGCAGCCTAAAGGCAGAGGGTCCATTCATTAAATTCAGACTGACTTGCCACCACCTGCAGTCATTTCTGTACAACAACCACCACCGCTCACCTCTGCTGCTTCTCATCCAGGTCTACGGTGCACTGCTCCAGTTTTGTTTTACTGTCCACAAACAGCTCGGTCACCTGCAGAGAGGAACGGTGTGAGGAGAGCTGGTGCAGGTGGAAACAACAAAAACACGACATGCTTTTTAAAAGCATTTTAAAATGACCGAGAAAGACTTTGCAGACGCTGTTCTGCTAAAAAAAAAAAAAAAAAAAAAGTTTCCCAGCACATCCACGCCATCTGTGGCTGACTTCTTAGAAAAAGAACCGCTTTGGGTGTTCCTGTCACTCATTTCTGAGACACCGATTAAGCTAACTGCATCTAAATTTGGAGTGCACACGTATTCAAGCCTTTACGGTAAGTGAAAGGGCCCAGAGCGAGCTGACAGGCAGGTTAGAGACTTCATCCTGTCAGTTTGTCTCTTTACAAAGACAAGTGCTGCAGGATGAGACCTGAAGAGAAGCTGTGAAGTCTTCATGTTACAACATTATTTATCAAACCGGGTCAGACTGGAAGGATTTAGTGCGAGGAGGAAACACATGTGACAACGTCCGGTTTTCAAAATAAGGTGTCTGTACAGGATGGAAATAAGATTAATTGGATTATATATTCACAGCAAGTATAAAACATATTACATGTGTCCATTAAAAGTAAATGGACACATGTAATTTACTTTACCGGACCCTCTCGGGCCCCGGACCCCCCGCCATAGTCTCTCCACATCCTGTGGGAAACACTGAGGGAAAAGCACATTTTGACTATTTATGCAGTGGTGAAAAAAAGAAAAAAAAGGTAACGTACTTTTTCGGTGTAAATTTTTTCATTATATTTGGTGTCGGACAAGAATTTTCATTTCGTAGCATCCCTATGGCAACACTAGAGAGGTCATAAAACACAGGCTATAGGGGTTGGGCGGTGAAATTTCCATCGGACGATGTCTACAATGAAACATCGGGACGGACGATGTCATCGGGGGCGCGGGCAGTCGTCTTATCTGCAGACTTCACTCAGTCAAAAAAAAAATTAAATAATATAATAAGTGGACCATTAACTTAGGTCACAAGTCGTGGTGGATATTTTACGCACGGGACCAGGTAAAGATGTCTGTCAGCCATCGGCCCAACTCTAACAGACTAGTGACAGAAAGTAATTATACATATTGTGATTTACGGTTTGTGTAACCCACATAAATATGGTAATATATAATAATCAATACTTAAAACAATTCCAAGTTTCTGTTACATAAACTGAGCTTTGTCACTTGCATCTGTATCGAATAAACGCAGTCCCAAGGCACGTTGAGGTCTGCGGTTTGACCGACAGTCTAAAACTTAAAATATGTCTAGAACAGCTGCAACCGATCACATTTCTGAAGCTGGACACAGAAGGTTTGGACATTTATGCTTAAAAAATGACCGATGCAGGGCGCCACTTAGCGAGCCCCATGTACAGAGGCTGAGTCCGTGCTGCAGCGGCCAGGGTTCGAGTCCGACCTCTGGCCCTTTGGTGCAAGCCCAACCCCCCCTCCTGCTCCCACATAAAACCCCAGCCACAAATAAACAAACAAAGATAAAACAGACTGATATAAAAAAATAAAAATAGTTAAAATAACGGCTGTTGATCTTCTGTCGATTGACTAATGGCTTCAGCTCTACTGCAGATTTTAAAAATGCATGTTTTTAGTTCTACGTTCTCTGGTCTGAGGGCGAAAGTCGTGCTCACGTACCTTCTTCAGCTCCTCCTCCATCACAGCGATCTTATCGGTGTGCTCGGACACGTTCTCCTCATGAGCGGTGATCTGACTCATCATACTCCTGACACACACACACACACACACACACACACACAGCAGAAAAACCAAATGTATGGAGAATTATTTTTACATGTTTCATAATAAACAACATTTTTTTGAGCAGTCAACACATTTGTACTCTGCTAAAATAATTCTTCTACATTCTTCTTCCAGTTAGAGTTGCTTTCGTCAGATGAAACTAAATGAAATGTGTTCGTCAACGACCTTTTTTTGGTGACTAAAACGAGACGGCGACAACATCCTTAAACACTGACTGTGACTTTTATTAACGTGCAATATTGTGGACGAAAAATGACGAGAAAAAATGATTCATAAAATAAAAAACGTTAATAAAATCTCTTTCTTTGTCAGTATAATGAGACAAAATATTACAGGCCACATTTTCTCCCCTCTAAATTTTCACTCGAACACTTTTTGTTTATTCAGCGTTATCCCCCCCCCTTCTGTGCGTTGAACGCTGGCCGATCAGGCGCGCGAGGAAAACATTACTGTGGAGGATGCAAACTCTGGTGAAGCAAACAACATGCTCGGGAGAAAGAGGCGCTTAGACATATTTCGGACTGGAAAAAAACCTACAGACTTGAATTAAAGTTAACGTCTCGTTTGCAATAAAAATAAGAAGATAAACTTTACAAAACAGTTTCTCTTTATGTGAGATGAAGACTAAAATTATAAATCTCTCTACCCTGGTTTGAGCAGATTGACCAAAATGCTAATCAAAATTATACTAATGAGTTAGAAAAGACTAAAAAAATGAATAAAACTGGACTAAAATACTTTTAATTGTCTTTTGACTTCTAGTCAACTAAAACTTGATACAGGGGACTAAATGACATAAAACTAACAAGGACATCTGACACAGGACGAAGACTAAATTTTAAATGGCTGTTCTTTCCAAATCAGCTCTAAGATACTCGACCGCCCTCAGTTCTACAGCCGCTTTACATAAACGTGGCGTTTTATATCTGAAGACCAGGAAAACAAACAGAACCTACTCGTAGTTCTCTGTGGACAGATAAACGCCGTTCTTGTCTCGGGTGGCAGCCAGGTCGCGCTTCAGGCGCTCGATCTCCTCGGTGTATTCCTGAGTGGACAGAAAACGTGTCATGCTTACTGAGTTGATACGAAAACCCTCCTGGATTCAGAGGAGCGAGACTAAAGCTCGCGTCTGATCGCGCTCGTCAGACCTTGATGAGCGTCCTCTTGGTGAGCTTCTGGTTGACTTCGGGCTTGTTCATGATGTTCTTGGCTCTGCTGGCGTACTCCAGCGTGCTCAGCGTCTCCTGCGCGGAGAGAACGAACATCGTGAGCGTCAAGCGCACTCAAGAGCATTAACATCGGCGTGTGTCCACGGAGACGTACCTCCAGGTTGCTTGAGGAAGGCGACACCGTGGCGATGATGGAGGTTTTCGTTCGCCCCCCTAGCGAGTCCTGAAGGATCCTGGTCAGCTTAGACTCTCTGTGGGAAGAGTTCACGCAGTTTATCCAGCTGGAAATCAGAGCTGGACCCTTAAATCATCCAGGGGCCTCGTTACAGAAACATGTCGTCATTAGTTATTGCAGGACTGACTAATCTAAAAGGCATCGGCGTTAATATTTATCTGTATTAGGGCTGTAACGGTTTTGCGACGCCAAAGTCCATGCATACAGGTTTCTACTCCTGTCCCTGGTTAGGCTTATAAAACTAAAACAAAGATTACAGAGTATTGAGTTTACACCATTAAAATACATCCAGTACATGAAATAAGATACGGGCTTAAGTAGATGTAGAAATCACTATTCACACACTTACAAATTAGTTTTAGAAAAGAAAGATTTACCAAAAACAGTCAAAACTCAATATATTGTGCTTCCGTAGAATGAGGCAGTGGCGCCATCTCACAGATTTCTGGTCCATTACTTGCCCGTTGCCCAAATGAGAATTTCAGTATCAAGTATCAAATTTTCTTCTGAAATATTCATTGACCTCTTTTTATTGAACAGCACAGAGAGAATTTAGTAACTTTTGGAACTCCCGTTTTCAGCCTTTATGCTAAGCTAACCGGCGTCTTTTCAGTCTTCTCATCTCAACTTTCTGCCAGCAAGCAAACTTCCCAAAATACCAAACTACTCCTAAAATGCATCCCAGGCTCAAAGATAACCAGGGTTTATTCTCATGTTATCAGCATTAAAAACCCTGCAATGTCATTTCTGGCATTAGATTTCAGAAATAAGCCGTGACTCCACCTGTACGGGACGTGAGGGCGTTTCTCCACCAGCGCCGTGATCACTCTGCCCAGCGTCAGCAGAGACTGGTTGATGTTTCCCGCCTCGCGAGCTCGCTTGTCCACCGCGCCCGAGCGGCCGATGTTCTCGCTGCCGGCGAGATCCACCTGGAGAGTGGAGGGAGGTGTGTTAAAAAAAACATATAAAAAAACAAATAAAATAAGAACCTCATGTCCAAGGAGAACCTTGAGAAAATTACACATTAATTTTTGTTAGACTGGATTATTGTAACAGTGTTTTCACAGGCCTCTCTAAAAGCTCGACTCCACACCAGCAGCTCATTCACAACGCCGCTGCGAGAATTTTAACAACAACCGGGAGATTTTAACACATCACTTCACCGCCTTACAGTAACAGAGAGGATCGAGTTTAAGGTTTTGTTTGTATACATCACACCTTACAGTCTTAAATCAGGGCTTAAAATGCTCCTATTCTCAACCAGTAAATTCATCACTACCATCTATTTGACTGAGACTCAGTTTAATACTTTTGCCTTGTAGTTCTCTTTTTTTAAATTGTGTGTTTAATATAAATTGTCTTTCAAGTATTTTAATTAAATTTTTCTTAAGTGTTTTCGTATCTTTGCGTCTGTAAAGCACTTTGAATGGCTGCAGTGTCTGGAAGGCGCTATATAATAAACCTGTCTTGCCTTTGCAAAGCGATACAGAGAAACTTGTCCACGCATTTGGTACCTCAAGGCTTGGCTACAGCAGCTTTCAGGCTGCTCAAAAAATAAAAATCTTATTAAGTCTCTCCAGCTAAAACGCTGCTGCACACATCTGACTAGAACCAGTAGGAGAGATTGAGTCACCCGGTTTTAGTAACTCTGCAGTGGAATTGATTTTCTTCTTCTTACATACAAAGCCCTTAATGGTCAGACACCATCTTATTTGAAAGAACTCGTTACACCATACTGCCCCACTAGATCCCTGCGCTCTCAAAACGCAGGGCTACTTGTAGTGCCGAGGGTCTCTTTAGCCATCAGGCACCTCGGCTGTGGAATCAGACCCCTGATCTGATTTTAGGAAGATACCAACATTTCCATATTTAAGAATAGGCTAAAAACGTCTCTTTTTAGTAAAGCTTTAAAAGTTGGTATTTTATGAATTTGTAAATTATTTCTTGCTCTTTTATAATTGTGTATTGTATTTTTTCTTAAGTGTGTGTATCTTGTTACGTGTTCTCAGCCTTTTTGCCCAATTCCGCAATCTTTATGTGTCTCTGTTTCCTGTTAAGTGTGAGCTTCGCTGCGGCTCAACTGCCGTCTGTCCACGAACACGTGAGGCGAAAGTATCCCGATGCACTTTGTCCAGACGGCAGCGCCGCAAATCCTGTTTCGTTTACTTTCTGTCTCCACGCCAGCGCGGCACGTTATCAGCACGAGGACACGCAGCCAGTTTAAAAGTTCTTCTTCGTCGCCTTCATGTTAAAAGTAATTTCTGCCCCGCTGCTGTCATGGTAACATAACGTTACACTAAATATTGATTAGACATGTTTTTGATAAATTGGTATGTTGAGTTATAGGCAACTTGTTTTTCCCTCTTCTTCTTCTTTAAAATACACAAAATTAATCATTAGATTAATCGACTTACAATAAATCGTTATGTACAGCGCTAGATGCACCAGCCTATAGAAAAGTGTCACAAGTACGTTCATTCCTCCTGGTTTAAAAGCAGAAAACCTCTCCCATTTGAAAGATTACCAGATTGAGTTTGCCGATCTTCACCAGCTCCTCTCCGTCCAGAGTGATCTCCTTCATGTGAATGGTGACCGAGAACACCGAGTGGGAGCGACTGCACGGAGACACAAGAGGGAAACAAAAAGCAGTGAATGAAATCAGCCGAGGTGGAAAATATCTGTCACGACGACCCCAGCAGCCGCTTCGGCCGGGAAGAGAGGCCAGTTTCCTCCGGGCGAGTACCTGGAGTAGGCGTTCATGAGCGTGGAGGCCGTCCTCCTCTTGGCCGATCCCCTCTCCAAGATCTGATAAACTTCATCTTTGTTGTGAACGGTCACCTCCTCCAGACCCTTCACCACCACGCCGCGCTGCGACGCAGAGGATAAACAAAATGCTTCAGCGTCCAAACATTAAAACTAGAATATTATATTTGATCTGCATTAAGCCTGATCAAGTCCTGTTTCTTCTCAGCAGTCACAATCCGCTGATATTTATTTATTTATCTCACGTGAGAGTTGTTACCTTGTTGCGCGGGTCGTCGAAGAGCTGCAGCCGCTCGTTGACGTCCTCGGTGGGGCTGAGGAGGTCGAACAGCTCCTCGTTGTAGATCTCCAGCAGGGACACTTTCACCGAGAACTCTGTGCCGTTCTCAGAGAGCTTCTCGAAGATCTGGTGCAGCGTTCTGGGGATGATGCCGGCCAGAGGGTCCTAAAAACGGTAGGAAAGGTTACCGGTGATCAGCTACTTTTCTGCTCCGCACAGCCACATTACTGCAGGGATAAAGTGATTTATGAAAGTCCAACCTCCTCCCAGGTGAACTGCTCGTTTGGACTCCGCTCTCCCTCCATGGTGAACGTCTTTCCTGTTCCCGTCTGACCGTAGCTGAGCGTGACAGCAGAGAAAGAACATTTTTTGTTAAATTTCTTGTTAAAACGCGTCATCGCAGTTCAGAGCAGAAGTGACAACCGAACTTACGCAAAAACAGTGCAGTTATAACCCATGATCACTTCATCCAGGATGGGGCAAACAACGCTCCTGTATACGTCAATCTGCTTGGCAGCTGGACCAAACACCTGCGGGGGGGAAATAAACAACATTCAGACAACAACACAGATAGCAGAGGGTAATAATAACTTTCTTTCCATTACTCATGTAGAGGGATCAACTGGTTTGTGTCAGTGACAAGAAGGTTTAATTGGCCCCGATCCCATTCTCACATGTTTACTTAAACGTTCATGAAGTACAGAAGGTCCGGGTTCGAAAATATTACCTTAGTCAGCTTAAACGGTTAATATGAATGAACTTAAACTGTACTGTGGCGAAACAGAATTAAGCTCCTCCCCTTCAACAATGACTTTTAGCAAAGTGCAGACGCCAACTGCAAAAACACACCAGTTTCATTTCCTTCTGTCATCAAGCTACTTACAGAATTAACATTAGTGACAGCTGACAGGAGCTGAAGGTCAGCTCTGCAAACCTGAGCCAACCAAATACATATTTCACCTTCACACGCAAATTATCAGAACCTCAGCAGAACCAGCAGGCTGAGGCGGACAGTAACGCAAGGCCGACACCGATCTTCACTCACCATGTCAAAGGTGTAAGCCTTCCGGGACGCCTTGTCGTTCACGCCCCCCGTCCTCACAAGCACCTCCTTCCTGTTGGTATCGCAGTCAATGATGCCGTAGGACGACTTGCGCTCCACCGTGTTGAAAGGCCTGAAAGCACAACGCAGAGGCAGAGCTCACTTCTCCGAACAACATCTGCAGGTCAAGGAAGTCAGAACAAACTAAATCCATGACCCCGCCTGTAAAAAATGGGGTTTGGCGATGCCGTCAGGTGGCTCGGGAGATTCACTTACCAACAGCCAGAAACATACATGTGCATCATGTATGAAAGGCAAATAAGCAATATGTGCTAGTGTTGTTTTACTGCAGACCATTATCTGCGTCCGGCAGTTCGACCTTTAACAACTGTATCTCCATCTTACTGTGTGTGTATTTTATTGTCTGTGCTCTGTATGATCTGTAGTGTGTAAAATATTAAGTGTGTAAAATATTAACTGTTTTTCTGCCAATCTCAAAATTTAACTGGTTTTAACTCACACGTCTTATTTTTAATCGGCTTTTAGTCTTAAATGTTAACAGTTTTAATTCACACTTTATTACTTTCTTCTGGTTGGTTGTGGCGTTCGGTATTTTAGTTAAATTCCAACTTTCCTAATTGTTTTCAACTCACATGTGTTGTTAATGCATCTGTTTTAGTTGTGTTTACTTATGTGTAATGTTTTATCTTTACACTGTCCACCCGCGACTTCCCTGGTAGCTCTGACTCTGTGCTTCTGCCTGAACGATGTGTGCGCTATATAAATATAGTTTTGTTCGCTTTGCCATTTAATAAAAAGAAGACTGGAAGCAGCCATAGATGCTGTCAGATGTCTCTTTGATTTAAACCCAACAGATTTACAGCTGGGATTAAAGTGTCGAACAATGAACCACAGTTTCTCATGTTTTACCAAACTACATAATCTTTTATGAAAATTAAATCCCATAAAGCTTTTTAACAACACATGAATCAACTGTTCCGCTTCCAGAGTAGCTGGATGAGGAAATATTAAGATAAGATTTTTTTTACTTCCTAATTCAAACAAAAGATGGCGAAAACCAGAAGTAACGTGTGTTTATTCTCAATTTCTAAAGCTTTTACTATCAGTTTAATTCTCTATAGTTAACGTGACTTCCCCATCCTGGACAAACTCATTTAAGCTTCACTTGTGTTTGTGGCTGCAGCAGACAAAATATCTGTTGATCTGAAGAAACCTCCCGGGTGTCTGAAAGACTGTTGTACTTTTGAGAAAAACAGATGCTTTTTAGCTCTTTAACTCGATCTGACCCGTCACATGACAGACACAAGATGTGGTGGAGAATAACTGTTTATTTATACACACACACACACACACATCACCGTATTTTAATATAAGCCTACATTAAATAATCTGTTAAGTTCCGTTTGTGCAGCACTACAAACTTTCTTTTCACTAGCGACTATTTTCTTGATTAATCGATTAGTTGTTTGGTCTGTAAAATGACAGAAACGATGATCAGCATTTCCTAAAACTTAAGACGTCACTCAAATGTCTTGTTTTGTAAGTGTTACTGTCACAGAGGAGCAAAGAAACCAGAAAATATTCACATTTAAAAAGCTGCACTAATTCTTTATTGCTCACCTTGTAAAATCTCCTGTATATTTTTTCGGTATTATTTTGTACACTTGTGCATTTTGGATCCCTTTACTTTCCCTTTCTTTATGTTTGTGTGTACTGTATAGCACAAATACACCAATGCAAATTCCTCCCATGTGAAAACGTACCTGGCAACAAACCTGATTATCACTTTTACTTCCCAAAACTACAGGAGGTGAATAACTTAGCTGCACTTTTTAATGCTATTTCAGGCTAACAACATACAAAACATGTTGCTTATGCAGCGTTAGGAAACCAAACCCCCAATTTTAAATGTTATTTTAGGCAAACAATATATATACACACACACACAGATGTTGCTTAAGCTGCTTTGGGACACTAAAAACCCCATGCCTCAGGGGGGAAATCCCTTTATCTTCCTTTAAAATCACCTCACAGGACGAATTAAACCCATTTAACATGTAAATTAGTCTAAACGTGGGCTTTAGAAATGCATATTGACACGTTATCTATAAATAACACGTGTGAGTCTTTCTGTCAGGCTGTGGAGGAAGCTAACTTTGCTTTTGACACAACAAAGAACATAAACATACCTGCATCTCACAACGACCTGGATGTTTCTCCCCTTCTCGTCTCGTTTGATCCCGCTCAGGTTGTGTGAAGTCATGGCTGCAGATGTTCTCCTCTGCACACAGACTGAGTTCAAAGCGTGCACATACCGTTAAGTTAACGTTACACACACGCGTGCAATTTGGCATTAGCACACACACATATGCACACAAAAACAGATATTAACGACCCACGACCGCTCATACATAACACCGCTGCAGGTGACCAACAAACTAAAGAGGACAGAAATGTATAAATTAGCATGTTGGTTAGTTGACGTTAGCTTAAAACGAAATGGCGTTAATCCAACGTAACTTACCGAATTCCGTGTCCACGTACTTCCTCTCTCTTTCCAAAGTATCCGCGGATTGTTTCCACCACTAATAAGATGTATAATTTTTATATTTTATCGTCTCTCGTCCTCCTCCGACAGAAAAGCCTCCGTCTCCGCAGCTCCTCTGGCGCTCTGACGCCTCAGAGGTTAAACATTTCAAACAGTACTTTTAAATTTTGCTCAACCAATAACAGTTGAGCGACGGCAAAACAAACGACGCCATTGGTCAGAAGGGACATGTGACGGATTCGGCGCGGGGCATCACGGGAGGTCAGAGAGTTATTAATACCACCGTCCTTCCACTAGGTGGCGACATTGTTCTGCGTTTTATCTTATTACTATAATACTTTTTGTTATTATATATAAAATAATACTATATATATTATTTATTTATTTATTATATAATGTTTAATATTAATATTTTGTAATTAAATCTATGATGATAGTATTCTTAATAATAATATTTTTGTTATTATATATAAATAATACTATATATTTATTTATTTATTTATTATATAATGTTTAATATTAATATTTTGTAATTAAATCTATAATGATGATGATGTGTTCTTAATAATAATGTTTTTGTAATTATATATACAATAATACTATATATATATATTATTTATTTATTATATAATGTTTAATATTCATATTTTGTAATTAAATCTATAATGATGATGATGTGTTCTTAATAATATTTTTTGTAATTATATATAAATAATACTATATATACACTGCTCAAAAAAATAAAGGGAACACTTAAACAACACAATGTAACTCCAAGTCAATCACACTCCTGTGAAATCAAACTGTCCACTTAGGAAGCAACACTGATTGACAATCAATTTCACATGCTGTTGTGCAAATGGAATAGACAACAGGTGGAAATTATAAGCAATTAGCAAGACACCCCCAATAAAGGAGTGGTTCTGCAGGTGGTGACCACAGACCACTTCTCAGTTCCTATGCTTCCTGGACCATGTGCTCTTCACAGATGAAAGCAGGTTCACACTGAGCACATGTGACAGACGTGACAGAGTCTGGAGACGCCGTGGAGAACGTTCTGCTGCCTGCAACATCCTCCAGCATGACCGGTTTGGCGGTGGGTCAGTAATGGAGTTGGATCGGCCTGTAGTGTGGTTTTCCACTTTGATTTTGAGTGTGACTCCAAATCCAGACCTCCATGGGTTGATAAATTTGATTTCCATTGATCATTTTTGTGTGATTATGTTGTCAGCACATTCAAATATGTAAAGAAAGGAGTATTTAATGAGATTATTTCATTCATTCAGATCTAGGATGTGTTATTTTAGTGTTCCCTTTATTTTTTTGAGAAGTGTATTTATTTATTATATAATGTTTAATATTAATATTTTGTAATTAAATCTATAATGATAGTATTCTTAATAATAATATGGTGGTGGGGTGGTGAAGGCGCATAGATAAGATGCTTACCCGGGTTCGATTCCCACTGTGAGACATCCACCATTGTGTCCCTGAGCAAGACACTTTTTATACATTTTATGATTGTAATGGAGGCAGTGAGCAGGTAACAACACACCTGATACATGCATGAAACAGTTTAGCAGTGGTGGACAAATAATTATTTACTGAATTAAAAGTACTTCACTGAAAAAGTACTCTGCTACATGTAAAAGTTCTGCATTGAAAACATTACTTGAGTAAAAGTATTTAAGTATATTCAATAAAATGCTGTAGTTGTTGAGCTGGAACTCATTTTGAACTTATTTGCATTGGACTGTAGCTAATAATCATTTTGAATTCTTCAATTAATCGAGTGATTGTAAAAAAAAAAAATCTGAAAAAAGTGAGAAATGCCGTCACAGTTGCCCCGAGCCCAAAGTGACACGTTTATTTTGTTTTGTTCAACCAACAGTCCAAAGCTCATCCCTATTAACAAACATTCAAATTGTGTTTTTGCATGAAAAAATGACCATCAATATAATGATTTAATAATCAGACAGTAATTTTCTGACAACTGACTAATGTTTCAGCCGTACTTGTGTAAACTGTCGGAGTTTAATTTATAATAAATATATTCATATTTTATAAACTCTTCATGTGTTTTGTGTGTAAAAATCTGACTTTGTAAAGTAACTGAAGCTGTCAGATAAATTAAAAAGTACATCTCCCTCAAGATGAGTTGAAAGTGGTACGAAAAGAAAATACTCAAACAAAGAACAGGTATCTTTTCTATTAATTATATTTCATTCATAAGTGCAAATATTCCCACAGAACGTAATTATGTAAAGACTCTTAAAACAGACGAGGAGTTTTAGATGGTAAATGCTACCAAAAAGTGTAATTTCTCTTATATTTTGACTTTCTAGAGCACATTTAAATACAAAACATCACAAAACATTAAAATACAGGTACAGTCATTAGAAACAATGCAGATTTGTGAAAATGGAACTGAAGCTGTTATTTATAGACGCTAAGCACATAGTATTCATGTATTTGAACGTACTGTCTAGATAAATATTATAAATAAATAGAAGTACATGCAATTTAAAGTATCATTTGTAACCAAAGTGGTCCCAAGATATTTATTACACCAGTCTAGCATTAGTTAAATTGGTAAATACAATAAATAGAGCCATTTTGCCATTTTTACCATTTAAAATAATTTTAGAGTGTAAATACTAATTTAAAAATTAGTTCAAAATCTATTTCAGACTACAGGGCAGAAAAGCTGCAGAAGGACCGTGATGATGTTGAACGGAGGCCAATAGGAGAGTTGATGTAAAATACAGAATATTGACTATAATAATAATGCAGCCATGGAAAAAGCTCTCTGTGACATTTGTGTTTGGTTCCGGTGTGTCAAAGCTCAAACTCGCACACACAAAATAATGTGGTTACAAAACGCAGGCACTCACTCATGACAATAAAATTTTGATGTTTATGAATTTACACAGAGACACACACAAAGGAACCAATTTTGTGCAGATGAACACATAAAAACAGAAAGTTATCTCCAAAAAACCCCCTACCAAAATCTATAAAAACAATAAAATCTAATGAAATAAACCAAAATATGAAATTATTCCACACGTTCACGCTCTTTGTCTGTTTCAGGTTTATGAAGTGACCAGTGGCGAGCAGCAACCCATCTGCTGAGGACCGTCCGCCCACTCGGCCCCCTGAGGACGACGAGGGGGTTGCCCTTTTTGCTTTGGCAACACCTTTAACACACACACACACACACACTCATTTATGCATGTATGGATTCAAAGACACACATGATAGCAGAAAAAGTGTTTTTGTTGTTTTATTACATCTTACAGTAATGGTGTAATAATTAAAAAGTTAAAGTACGTCCACTGACAGGCTCGGAGTGTTATTATAAGTGTCTGACAATATTATGGAAAGGATTCCTACAGAGAGAGACCTTTTTTTAAAGAGTAAGATCCTTTTTGTTCAATCAGAAACAGCCAACGTCTCGCTCTCGTCAAAGCCACCAGACTCCCTTGATAAAAACAATCCTTTTATCCTGCAGAACACAGCAGTTGCCGGCCTACTGTTAGTTAGTTTCTTTGTGTTATTGTCTGACTTTGGTGTTTTTGTTTGTTTGTGTTATTGTGTGACTTTGGTGTTTTAAAGAGTTAAAAAATATCAAAGTCCCACAATAACACAACCTTAGCGAAGGAGGCAGTGGTAGACCAGAGAGGTAAAATTACTGTTTTTGTCAAGGGAGTCTGGTGGATTTGAAAAGGGGCGATACGGCGACTGTTTCTGCGGAAACAAAAAGGATCTTACTCTTTCAAAAAGTTCTGTCTCTTTAGGGATCCTTTCCAAAACGTTGTTATAATAACAACCTGAGCCTGGCAGTGACAAAAACAAGCACATCAGCGGACGTACTTTAACGGGGCACAATTGCCCTCAAGGATTATGATTATGATCACTCAAAACCAATTTCAAAACAATGTTGTCCCAATTAGTCACACAGACACAATAACACAAACAGAGATGTCTGATTTAAATCATGATCTCCACGTGGTTTCCCCATTGTTTAATGACGTCGTCTTGTTGTGTCCTCTTCTTCTTCTTCTTCTTCTTCTTCTTCTTTGATGGTTTAACGGCAGTGACTGGAGAATCAGCTCCACCAGCTGTTTGTCTCCACGCGTCACACGGCAGCAGTGCACGGAGACAAGCAGCAGGTCAGGCTTTATTATGAGGAGCTTGAGCAGGCTGCCATGAAAGTCTAATGAAGTGAATCGTGATTCAGCATTAGAAACTGAGTATCTGTAACGTTTTGGTGTTGAAGCATCAGCTACAGACCTCATTAAAATCAGCACCCAGATCCAAGCCAGAGGACCCCATGCTGCCGTTTTTAACCGTTTGTACTTCACCTCAGAATCATTTTGTCACTATCAGAAGTACCATCACCAGAATTTAACACAAGTACACATGAACCTTTAAGCACCTGAGTTTAACTGAGAGAATAGAAGATGCTGCACATGTTAACACCTCTGCAGAGAAAAGATTCTACACATAAAGTGAGTCCCAGTTCTCTCCTGTTAGTTTTGCCCTAATGTCGTGGCATTTGGTTCATCTCCGCTTGTCTCAAAACTTTGAATATTTAACAGAAAGCCTGCGTTGTGAAGTGGGGACAGTGGAAGCAGCTGAACCAGAACAGTACAGCTGCAGCCGGACACACAAACAAGGAGCTGAAAGTCACCATGAAGCTCCGTAAAGCTGAGAAGCTGCAGATTCAGCTGACATTTAATATTCTTTTCACATTGTCATTTGGTAAAATTATATTGATTATAGCCACTTTAAAGGTGGCTTCCTTATTTATGCCCTCAAATGTAGTGTTTCATACTCTTAGATTACTTAAAGGGCCTCCCTACTCATTAACTAAGTATTTTTACTTACTTTCCGCTACTTTCTGCTTCTACACTTCAGGGGTAAATATTGTACTTTTTACTCGTCTACATTTGTTTAAAGAGCAGGAGTTAATTTTCAGTTGAAATAAATAAACATTAAGCTTATAAAATTCAGCACAGTTGTTTAAAAAAAAAGTCGTTGCCTCTTGTTGTGCAGCAACATCCCCGGCTTTTGTAATGAATGACTGAGGCACAAAAAGTTATGAATCCGTGCAGTAGATGGCTTCAGCC